TTTCATTAAAACTTTCTATATAAATAATTTTCCCATAAAAGAAGCTTTAAAGCATTTAAAATCTGACAATCTTTTTTCGTGCTTTCATGTATCCGTAGAAAATTTCATGAAAAATTCAATTTAACTTTCACCGATACTTAAGTAGGAGACTTATAACGAACAGTAATGGCAAGGAATGTGAAGCAAGATTGGATTAGCTTTAGTCTCCAGTCAAACAGCGTATCCAATCCATCTCAAAAATAATGTTTTTACCATTCTTCGTTTCTGCACTGAAAGCAATAGCAAGATTCCCGAAGGGGACGATGGCCAAATTAGAGAAATAGAGACAGACACTTGACAGATAATGTACAGCAATAAAAGCCGTACTTTCATTTCACAGAGTGTGCAAGACTTCGGGCGAACGTGACCCGGGTCCGAATGTCGTGACAAAATATTTAGTATCAAAACATTTTATACGGAACAATTTCCCAGGAAAGATCTGAAAAGTATCTAACGAAGTAAGCAAAATTCGCAACTTTTCCTTAAGCTTGTTTCATTTCATTTTAATTAATTTAAATATTTCACAAGTTATACTTTAGAAAAATCAAAGGAATATTGTAGAATAAATAAATAATGAGATTAATTTAAATCCTATTAATAAGATCATTAATGTTTTATCACAATTTTTGTTTTTACTGTGTCAGTTCTCCATAGGAAAGTAATGAGTATAATAAAAAGTAAAAGGAAAAGAATTTCAGGAAATTGGAATAGGTAGCTTTAGCCTCGTTCCCTGCACGTTTAGCGTATGTTATCCCAACAATTTACTCCAACATTCCGTTTCCATCAGTTAACCAATTCAATTTACCTCGAATACTGTTTCAATTGCGATAAAGTGCAGGGGAATACATCTGCAATAAAAGCCGTACTTTCATTTCACAGAGTGTGCAAGACTTCGGGCGAACGTGACCCGGGTCCGAATGTCGTGACAAAATATTTAGTATCAAAACATTTTATACGGAACAATTTCCCAGGAAAGATCTGAAAAGTATCTAACGAAGTAAGCAAAATTCGCAACTTTTCCTTAAGCTTGTTTCATTTCATTTTAATTAATTTAAATATTTCACAAGTTATACTTTAGAAAAATCAAAGGAATATTGTAGAATAAATAAATAATGAGATTAATTTAAATCCTATTAATAAGATCATTAATGTTTTATCACAATTTTTGTTTTTACTGTGTCAGTTCTCCATAGGAAAGTAATGAGTATAATAAAAAGTAAAAGGAAAAGAATTTCAGGAAATTGGAATAGGTAGCTTTAGCCTCGTTCCCTGCACGTTTAGCGTATGTTATCCCAACAATTTACTCCAACATTCCGTTTCCATCAGTTAACCAATTCAATTTACCTCGAATACTGTTTCAATTGCGATAAAGTGCAGGGGAATACATCCTCCGTGGCATTTAAGTGTCCATTATCTAATTCCCGGCTTCTATACCTACGCCCAGATCCGTCGCAAGATCATTTACTCCAACAATTGGATTCACATTATCTGCATGGATCCAGAGAACGACTCATTACCACTGATAGTCCGTGGATACAATTTTCAAAATTATCTTCTCAACGTGAAAACATTTTCCCTGATCTCTCTTCATTCGATGGGGAAAGGTCTCTACAGAATCAAATATACGCACTCTTATCTGAACGCGCAAGGATCGTTTGCGAGATGTTCGGAAGCGAAAGTTTCCAACTCTCAGACGGGATCTCTGCGTAGCTAGAAGTGAAAAAGGGATCACCATGACTGATAATCGTCAAATGTGTTTCTGAGTAAGTTTCGCATCCAGAGTCTGTGAAATAAAACTTTTTTCATTTGACGTAATGCGACCACCCTTAACTTATACTCGGATTAATTTCCAAAGATAAAACCGTTTGCCCAAAAAACATTCACAAAGGCTCGACTTCGTCCACCGTGAGCGTACGGTGGATTCGTTAAAAAGTCATGCACGCATCGCAGGTGATCAAAGAATTGGAAGGTGCATAAACCAGGATAGGTTTTCAGCCGGGATACAATGGCCGCGGCTTCAGTTAGACGATGAAGTTTCTATTATCCACCTATCTGGTACAAGCACGAACAAATTGCAAGCATTTAATGCTTGCCGGTAGATAAACTTCATGGTAAACTAAGCTGGCACGCCGCGTTACGAGCGTGACGAGGTGAAGTTTATTAATCTTCCGCCCGGCTCGTGTAATGGTGCGAAATTAATTGACCAAGAGCCGGGCAGCATCGTGAAATTTCACTTCGGCCGATGATTTTTCCTCTTTCTTCTCGCCGATTGTCCGATAGCCGTCCGAGCAGTTTTCACTTTACGAGATCAACGTTGTAATTCGACAGGCAATAGATAATACGAACGGTAACGAATAATGTACTAACATTGATATTAATCTCAGGTCAAGTCACATCTCGTTGAACTAACAAATTAATCGTGTCACGTTTTAATCATTTCGAACCCGATTTCGTTACGTAACTTAGAAAATCTTCGACGAGACTTTATGTGTACATGTAAAATGCATAGATTTACAAAATTCCGCGGTTACGAATTCATATTCATTGGTGATGCGCCGTGAACATTCCAAGACACACTCTGTTATTGCATTCAGCACACGAACCGGGTATTCTTTGCTCGATAGGTGTTCCTTATCCAAAACAACGACCGTCTTTACACGAGGGAAATACTCTTTCAGTACACGAGATATTAAACTCGCAGCGTTGACATTTTCCGAGTTGAGTCTTATGCAAACAATGGGAGACTGAAAATAATAAAAGCACAGAATCGTAGGCGACACGGAGAGTTATCCGATTATGAAGAAGAGGAAACGAACGGACGGTTGATATGCTTTTTTTTCGCCCCTACCGAACATCACGTGGCCGGGCGCAGTTCCGCGATACGGTACGATAGCATTGATAAACAAACGAAAAAAAAACATTCCCGGTGCACTGAATGCCGGATTTTATCGATTCGTGAAATGCGCGAGCTTAAAATGATACCGCGCGATTTAACTTTGACAACGGAACGCCGCGGAATCACGTTCGTTCCAATGCATTCAGCTTAGAAAACACTCAGGAGCAAAATCTGATTGTGCCAGCTAGAGCTTGAAAAATGGTCTAAATGCTTTAGCGATGGAGATACCACGCGATTGTGTCTGATAACGTCGCGCAGATGTCAAAATGATCGATCTAACCGAATGAAAAAGACGTAACATACAAGAATAACATTATTTTTTATGGAACTGTTTACTATAAGGATCTATCAGATAAATTAACAAAAATTGGAAAACGATACTCTACGATAATATTATTTGTACCTCCGCAAAATCAGTTCCAATGATTCATATCATACATTCATTTTGTCATTAAAGAACAGGAGTGAAGTAAAAAAAAAAAAGACTGAAACACAAAGCAACGGAATAATGCTCATATAGCATATTTATTTTCTATGAACAAGAGTGCATTGATTTCCAGTTACACGCCGCACGAATGATCATAATTCACGCAGTCGAATGGATTGTACGTATAACTGCATTATGAAACTGTAAAGTAATTACAATTTGCATTGTACTGCTAAAACGCGATAATTTACGTATATAGGTGCATGGATACCCGAAAGTACATGTATCGCTGTCGCATGGATTATGGCTGATCAAAACGGACCTTACCTATTGCAAATTCAGGAATTCAATAAATATTCATTGGACATTGCATTACAATGGACAAAATAAATGAAATTAAAACGTTTAAACGTGTTAATTAATCAAAGTCTTTCCACGATTCTCAATTCGTTCCTCTTTCTCTTATGTTGGAGTTGCAGATATTCCAATGATTCGTATAATAATTTAATGAAAATAAAAAACGAACGTACATTTATAAAAGAAAATGACAGTCAAACATTTAATCTCAACAAAAATAGTGCTAGGAAAGTATAGGTGAACTAAAAACTGTTCCATTTCGAATCATAAAAGAAATGAATCAATGCTGCATTGCTGTTACGTCAAGAACGAAGAACCGATATTTATGGTACGGAAAAGAAATTTGTGATAAATAGCATTTCTGACAGACGGAAATTACATTACTGTCAATGTGTTACAAATCTCACAATGGCTATGCCCGAAACGTCAGATGGTAGAATTCAATCACAGTAATTATAAAATTCACGAAATTTTCTTCAGTTTAACATCGATTAATGTCCTGCTGAATGATTCAAATAGTAAATCGATTATTTAAAACGCGTCTATATTAAAACGTTCGATCCTCTTAAGTATCAAATATAATCTCGGGTTCTCTTATTAAATATAAAATACAATGCACGTAGTTTAATTGAAGCTCGTTCATCTCATCAATTTTAATTAAATTTCCTAATAGACAGATTAGTTTTCTTTTACAGACATTAATCATACAGGTTGTTTTCTCTGGCTTCACAGAGTTAAAGGATTAAAACCACGTGTTCCTGGTTTACAAAAAATGTTCACCACGGAATCATTTGATGAGTCGTAATTAAAAGCGTGCAGAGGCAACACGAGACTCATCTTGCCGAAAAACAAACGTGCGACCCTCGTGCACGCGTTCAATTATTGACCAGCGGAGTAAAATAGGTATTTATGGTCTAACCGTGTTCGCTCGACTAAATTTTTCCTACCGGTTTCCAATTGCTTTCCACGCCAGAGCCCACCCTATTTTTACTCCGACCACCTTCCGCAGTTTTAATAAATACAAATATTTGAGCCGGACACATATAGAATACGTGTTTGTGCTTCCGGTATTATATGAATCAATATGAATGGGAGTGATTTATCAATTCGACACGAGAAACCTGAGATAAATAATAATTTACGCAGATGTTGCTAGGAACCAAAAAACGCGTTTCACATTGCGGTTCACTGAATTCGACAGGGATACATGTTAAAAGGATAAGCTGTGCCTGAGGGAGGCTGATTATTGAAGCTAAGGATAAGACGCATGATTGCACTTACCTTGTTCACCAGCCCGCACGAGGACTACCTCATGGATGGTCAACAGGACGATGGTAAGCCCGAGGGTCGAGTACCGTATATGGCGCCACATCTCTGAGATCGAGAAGGGCCAGTCCCTACGTGGAATCCGGTTGGCCCCTCATTACCCCTTTCGACAAACGTCCCCGAGCCAAACGGACGTCAGGATAAGAAACGACACGTCGATTCCGCCTCGGAACTGTGGCCGCACGTCTCGACGTAAATACAGATTCAGCGTACAACTGCGGCTACTTAGTTCCCGCCAGCAACGTAGCGACATTAACCGATTTCACGCTAGGATGCGAAATAATCCGCCTTAATTTGCAGATTCGCTCAGGACAGGGGCTTTAAACTCTTGATTGGCTTCGAGCTGCTGCGATTCCCTCGTCGAATCAGAGAACTCGTCGTAGGTCCCAGAGAGTCGAACATTTTGCGCACTTGCTAGGAAAATAATTAATCCCTCGTGCAATAGAATTCGTTGTATTCCTGATTTCGATGTTGGAAATTAGCAATATCGGTCCTTGCATTACACGATTCAAGTACACACAATACACGCGTTTTGTATTCACTCAGATTGTTAATTTTAAATGCATTGTATGCATCTCTGCTTTGTCGATGGAACTCTTTCTTCGCTTCTAAAGCAATTTTCCATCACTCCCGACATCCTGAATTCACTTCAATTTATATTTATATTAAAATAAAAATGAGATATTAATTTTGTGAGAGAAAATCCATTTTCACAGCTAAATGGTCCACGGATCTTGCCTTGTCAAATAGAAGATCCTGCTTCATGTTCACTGGTTCACCATAAACGCATTTTTATTTAAAATGCAGCGTGGCAACTCTTGTAAACCGAAAATCTGCGAACGACGTATCACGTTTTCCAGCTAAAGGATCAAAGCTCCGTTTTCTCTTTGGCAATGGCAATCAGAGCCCCTATTTACCTAAAATCTAGCGATCAGCCTGAAGTCACTTTCCGTCAAACGTTTAATCGGCTCAAAGCCGCGTGCCGATTTTTCGACGAAACAAATTTACACTCGTAGTGTCTGTTCCTCGAAAACACACAAGCCCGCGAAAATCGCGGGAAAACTAACATAACTGTACAATCTACCGGGCATAATCATTAAACCGCACCAAGTATTCTCCTGTTTCCACTGTACCGTTCCACATTAATTAGTTTCAAGTTAAAATAATCAAACCGTAAATAACATTGATCAAGATCATTGACCGATATGTAATACAATACACTTTACGTATGCTCGCAGAATCACTCGGACACTTTTCTGGATGATTAAGCTCGATCGAACCATCCGTTCGTTCAGTTTAATCAAACAACTAATCGTGCACGCGCGTAGATCAGTTCGAACTTATATAATTAGTGGCGAACGTCATCGGGAGAACGTGCAACGAGGGGTAGCGATCGGAAACTAGACGCGGAAAACAATGAGAAAAGAGTACGCGCGACAACGTACGAGGCGATTGCACGCGTGGGAGGACGAAGCTAACGCGAACAAACGCGAGCGCTGTGGCACGCGAGAGTGTCGGTAAACTCGCCTGGCGCTTCTTCGAAACGCGTAGAGCGGACCCGAGCGGAGACGACAGTAGCCGTGCGAGCCCGAATGAACGGATCATGCGACTCAGCTGCCGTTAGGCGCCTCTATCCAGCCACCCCCATCGCGAAACGCCTGTCCGGTTGCGCCGTAGCACACTGATGAGCACCACCACTGATACTACCCACTGCGCGCCGCACCACCATCAGTACCACCTCACTTCGTCCCGGTTCGCTCCCACCACCTATCGCTCCGGTAACACACGCTACGCTCTTTCTTATTCTACTTATTGCATTTCTTAAGGGTTTGTCCCTACCTGCTGGAACGGAATAGGGACAGAGGGTTGAAACGGTGCATACATTTATAGTGTCGAAATGCAAATTGCATCTTAGCAAAATCATTTCTCTAAAAATAATATTTGTTACTGGTTTCTGAAATTCATCTTTACAATAGGTTTATTAACTTACTTTCCGCGAGGATTGTAATTCTTTACACTTTCCCGCATGATGTGGACGCATCGTTCTCGTAACGATAAATTCGCAACGCGACGAGTATCGTAAATCAAAATGATCCAGGGACAGTGTTGGTACTGATGCGAACGTAATACAACTTTGCCTGCCCTCGTTATAAGCCTGGTTTACACGTGTATTAAACTAGAGCGAAGAAGCCGTACGTATGATCAACACGGTCCATTAGGTGCTATTGCCAGGTGCACCGGACTGGACACATTATGTATGCAAGTCGAAAACCATTAAATTAACATTCATAGTCTGGCGTCCTCTAATTTAATTTGATATATTTTTCAAACTGGTCTACTTTACTGCTTGGAGCCGATTTATTTAGTCGCGTTACACGCAATATTCAAACGAATATCACGTGAAACGCGACTTTGCAAATTTGTCCATTAAAACATTGAAACGATATTAAATTAGTGAGAGAACTTTTTAACCAAGTCTCATTTAACCGTGTATTTAATACTGAAATAAATACAAAAAAAAATAATTGCGTGGTAGTTGAGAGAGAACTTTGTTTTAATTGCTCACTGCACCATTGTCGTGGAACTTTGTTTTATACTTTGAATCACGATACGATTTTGAGAAGGGGAACTGTTCTCCCGGTTGCTCGTCGGTATCAAATTTTCAAAATCTGTCCCAGATGCAAAATAATACCTTATGTGCATGAAAGACTATAAAGTTCCCGTCGTTCCGAGCAACTTTGATAAAACCGAGTCGCTCTTACACTTCAAATGGCGCTTCTCATAAATTATTGACTGAAATTTACTTCTTATTGTACGAGCATTAATTGGCCCGGAAAATTCATTGAAAATCAAAGTAATTAGGCTACAAAAAATCAATCGCATCGGTGAAACACCGTGCAGAAGCAGTCGTGACGGAGTACTTTGCCCGAGTTTCAATCATACGCCGGCGAACGTGTAGCTACACCGATAACGAATATAATTTGTCGTTAGACGATTTAGTTCTCTTCAGCGTGAACAGTGCATCGTAAATTTGACATAAAATTTATGCTGCAAAATTGCATCCTGATGCAGGGTACGATATTCAGCGTCATGATGAATGAACGCGGCGCAAAATTAATGCAATAAAATATCAGCCTCGCGCAGCTCCGGAAATTCCGTGTTGTCTACTGACGCCAACTGCTTATAATCGTACGCTCGCAAAATATGTCACTTTTGTTCGAATCAGTTTTTTTTCCGCTCTCTGTCGTTCGTTTCCGTCGGCTCTATATAAAATCCATGAATTTTCAATGAATTTTCCACGTATTCAAAATTCCCGTGACGACGCACGAAAAAACGTATTACAGGCAGAAAATAAAATCGTCGCGCTAAAATTGATCTGGATTAACGTGCTCTGGTGGAGAAAAGTGTCCAGTGTGAAAAAATTACAAGGTTACATATAAAAAAATTGATACTAGTTGAATTTTTCCATGCGTGCACAGTACAAGAGTGATAATCAAAGCTTTGTGAACCTCAAAAGGAACATATCTGCACACTGTGTGAATTAATACCTTTTACGATATAAAAGAAAGATGAATAAATTGTATTATTCCTATTTTATATAAATTAATAGAGCCTGTAGGAATAGAAATAAAAATTAATAGAAAATAGCCATTTATAATTTACTATTATAATAATTAACGTTATTTGAATTTTTCCTTTTACTATTTTTCTTTGCCGGAACTCTTAAGATTTCTGAATGAACTACATCGCGTTACGACCCGCATATTTCGGTGCAACGTACGGTAGAACTGTGATATTTATAAACAGAAAAAGGAACAGTTCCACCTTCGTATACCGGATGCAATTTGTTCCCGTTAAATTCAGCACTAGGCACTTCCTGCAGCTTGGAACGGTGGTACTCGGTCCAAGGTATTTCAGATTCGGGATAAATCCATCAACTTCTAAAAAGACGTGTCGCGTTATGACGTGCATATTAAACACGATCAATAATTCCGCGTGTATCGATTGTGAGTAAATTGCACACGCGTACTGTTTACAAGACCGAACTTCCGATATTGTCATTTAAGTAAACATTAGCTCGCGTTGCTGAAAATTTAATTACATATTGAAAACACGCATCAATTTATTACCACACCTGCATGTATAACTAAATACGTGTTTTGCTGCTAATAATTCGCGCCGTTCATTGACCATAAATTCCAATATAGGACAACAGTTTCCTCACTCAGTTAACCGACATTATGGTATTACCCGCCACCAAATTATGGATTGCAGAATTTATTGTCTCATTTGTTACTCAGTACAAAAACTCATAGCTAGAAGGTATCCACCTTTGGGGCTTAGCCTCGCCTCTCGTACCATGCGGAACAGTTAGAAGGAAAACTTGTTTCTATCCGAATGCAAATTTAACAGCCCACGAATTCCTTTCTTTTCCCTCTTATTTCTCCCTTACCTTTAAGGTAAAAAAAAGGTAATATATTTCACTTTTAAATCTCACATGCCATTTCAAGCTTTCATCTCTATTATACATAAATTTTCGCGAAGCATCCCGAAGAATACTTTATTAATAAATTGTTCCTTCATTTTTCTGGAAATCAAACCGTATCTCACTTTTTTTAACAGAAACTATTGTACACCTCGCCGGCCCAAACTATTTTACATACGCGAAGTCCCAGAGAGAATGAATATTTTTCCGCTTTTTCACGAGATTTTTATGGACAAATCAATGTCAGACCTTGACAAGCGGGAACTTTTCAGGCTCGCCTATGCCCGTGGTTGTTTCCTCTATAATCGTGTATATCCACTCATTCAGATTTATCAGTACCTCCAGGGAATGAACATGGAAATTAATGTACACGTTCTCGGTCGATCATATAAGCCCCATCTAAAACGTTATTACACACGAATAAGATTAACGATCTCTCTGGTAACAAGAATGACTTCATTTTTTCCATAAGAGGGACGATCTTCGGCGATTGAAATGTAACTAATTTGTCAACAACACGAATTGGGTCATAAATGAGAATAAATTTTACGATCTCGAGTAGATTTTCATTGTAATCACTATTGAGTGTAGGAGAGACATATAATAGTACACAAGTTTGTACATATTGACACACATGATAGTTGCACTTCAAACTTGTGAATTAATGGGCACGGTTTCATACAGCATCAGGCAGAAGCAGTCAGAGCTGGGTATCATGATACGCTCTCGACAAGCACAGCTGCACATCGAGAACAAAACATGCATTTTCCATTCTCCTATCGAATATTCAGAGAGGCTTTTAACAATTCATCAATGCCGACAGTGGCGAGCTTTACTTGTAACCCTTACCTCGACATTTTACGATCTTCCTGTCAGCTACCCGCCAGAACCTATGACAGGAACGTCGATCACTAAGCGGGATCGATCTGCTCATCCACGACGCCCATCCAATGTTTATGTATATGTTTAATTTCATGGAAACTCGACCACGCGTGTGCAACATTGTCGAGCACGAAATTTATCTGTTAATACTGTAAAAGTGTTGTAAACGTACACATTTACAGTTTCTGATTTTTCTCTATGAGCAAAGACTATGGGCCATCTAAAATCCTTTCTCCATTGCGCGTCGCACGTCTACTGTTGCTTGACAATAAATATCTTTGCCCGTAAGCAGCTTTACGTCTCTCTTGACGAAGTTGCAGCATCCGCGGTCGCAGTATGTACCAATTGCCAGAGAACAATATCCTTAAGTGGCTCTGGAAACAGCTCCAGTTCGTCTGGTGTAGTGTAGCTACCTTCGCGAACAAAGATACACGTTGCACTAACTGCGACGACACGAAACGAAACGAGGGTTATTATCAGAGGGTAGCGCGGTTGTATATAATTCAAGTTCCGTCTTCGCGAAAGTGGACTGTTACAAAACGGGCAGCGTATCTCAAGAAAAGGTTTCTCCAAAAGAACAAACAATGGACAATGAATTTCGCCAAGAGTTCAGAGTTGTGTCTTCACCCTGTTGCACAAATCGATGCTGCCGCTACGAGTAACGTTCGTCTTCAAATGTTTATACTAAAGAAACACCAATATGTTCCTCGTACAAACAACAACTTAAGGAAGTATTGGCTATACAGTCAATCTTAAAAATTTATGTACCTTAGAAAAACACATTTCTTACAATTAAAAAGAAATCAGACATCGGAAGAAAAATGCTGATAATAAATAGCTACGTGCTAAAAAGTATAGAAGGAAATATCCAATTA